CTGGCTCGAGAACGTGCTGGAGGGGGAGATCAACACGGAGGACGATGACGATGACGACGATGATGATGACGACGACGATGATGATTAGCCTCTCGGGGGGAGTCCCCTGCCTGCTGGACCCACACGGCCAGGCCCTGCCCGGGTCGCACCCGTGCCACCCCCCAGGGTTTCAGGGGTGGGAGTGACGGCAGCGTTTGGTCCGTGGCCGTGCCACAGCAAAGAACACCAGCAGACTCCAGTGATAACGCCTTTTTGTATGGATCCGACTGAAGCCTGCGTCCCCCGTCCCCACGCTACCCCCTGCAGGACGCTGACTCCAGGGGGGAGATTGGGCCCACTGGGGACAATCCTCCCCCCTCCCCAGAGTCTGTCTGCCCCCTCTCCTTTCCTCTCTCTGTCTGCCACCCGCAGAGCACCCAGGCAGCATGGAGCAGCCCGTCTGGATTTTGATCTCAGCACATGTGAGCCTGGAGTTGCCAAGTCCCTTGCCATGGGCATCCCACACTGACTTCTGTGTGTCACTAGCAGCCCGGGCGCTCCCTCCCTTGCAGTAGACCCAGGAGAGTCACCCTTTCCCTGCCAAGGGACAGGTGTTCACCCTTCCTGAGCCAAACACTGAAGGAGGAGAGTTTCAAAACCAGCGGAGGAACCCAAGTCTCATTGGCTTTCATTGTGCTCTCAAATCCCTCCCCTGAATTTCCAGAGGGAAAATTAGGCCATTACAGCTCAATGGAAACATCTTGGGTTAGAACTCAGACCCTAGCCTCGTAAAAGCCAGAGTGAGAGGAGAATCCCCATTCTCTTTCAGCTCTATAGGGCTCATGACACACTGTAGAGCAGCTCCAGTCCCACAGTAGAGGCCAACTGTGCTCTGTACACCCATAGTCAGTCCATTACAAAGTGTAAATAAGCGTGCAGACAAACCGAAGGCCAAATCTGAGGAAATCTGTCCCTTAAAATTGCTCTTTGCCAACCTGAGATAAAAGTCCACTCTGCATGTTTCTCCTGCTCCACAGCCAGCTCCTCCCTCCCTAATGTCCCTGTGTGGACTTTTGTTCAGCGTTCTCTGCTGAGTCCATCACATCATGATGCGCCCCTACCTCCTCTCATGGAACAACATGGTGCCACCCCCACACGCCCTCCCTCGCGGGGGAGCAGCCAATGTACAATTTGTATATTTTTAAACAACTTTGTACAGATCAATATTGTAACAACCAAAGGGATTAAAAAAGAACAGTGAGAACCACAAGGGGCTTCTGGACTGTTTGATTTATTTGGTTCAAACAATGAGGTAGCTTTTCCGGGGCTTGGTCTCTCAAGACACTGTCCATCAGGGACTGTATGGTCCAGGCTACTGGGAAGGGCACTGAGCCCATGCTTGGGGGGCATAGGGCCCAGCCACATCCCACTGACTGTCCTCCAGATGATCAGTATCTGAGCACATTCATAAGTTTGTCAATATTAAAGGAAGAGTCTGTTTAACCAAGTCGGGAACGGAGCTGTGGTGACTGGATTAACATTAGAATAGCCAGAATGGGTCAGACCAAAAGTCCATCTAGACTAGACAGTATCCTGTCGTCCCTCAAGTCCTGGTCTTCACAACATCCTCTGGCAAGGAGTTCCACAGGTTGACTGCGTGAAGAAAATCACTGCGTGATTGTTCTGCAGTGGCCTTCAAAGAGCACATCCATGTCTCAGCCAGCCCACTCCTGGGAACCAAGGAGCCGAATTGGGGGCAGGGGAGGGGACATGCTATAAAAAACTCCAAGTGCAAAATGCAATGGTGGCAGGAGCCTAGTCATTTGAATTTGGCAAGGAAGGATGTGCTGTGAAAAATGTAGAGTGGCGGTAAAGAGAGTGTATGTGAGAAAAACGGGTTTTGTGTGTGTGTGTAAAAATGTTTGGGTTGTTTTGACTCAGTCAAAATGGAAAATATTCAGTTTACACTTTACTTTCTCCTCCTCTGCTGCTGTCCCCCTCTTCTCCTCCCTCCCCCCC